TTAGTTTCGTGACTGCACTTATTATATATATTAGTTAACATATATAAAAATAATATTCTATTTTATATTATAGACATAAAAAACATGAAAGTTGTAAGTCAAAATACGGCTTTGGCCGAACTCGGAATGGACTCCATGATGGCCGTTGAAATCAAGCAAACTTTTGAACGAGAATTTGATATTTTTCTCACTGCACAAGAAATAAGAAATCTTACTTTTGCAAAACTCATCAAGATATCTGATGAAAATGTTAGCGACGATAATATGCATGACAAAAAGAAACTCGAAGACACAGAGGAGCTACATGTTATAAAATATTTAGTTGGTGTTGTAAAAGATGAAGATTTTGTTTCACACATCTGTTTTGATCTCTCTACAAAAAGACAGAAAACTACGACTGAAGTATTTCTTATTCCGGGTATCGATGGATGTGGAACTATATTTAATTATTTAGCACCAGATATTAACTTTTCAGCAACGTCTTTGCATTATAATACAAACAATATCGATGCTACTACAAACGTTATATCTGAGACAACTGATCAGCTTACAAACGTATGTGCAATTGCATTAATAAATTTATGTTATTAATAGTATTCATTTTCATTATTAATTTTATTATTAATATAATAATATAAATTTATATTATAGTTTTAAAGGCTGAAAAAAAAACTGGTTTTTTTTTCAATTTTTTCGCGGATTTTTTCGGTTTCTTTCCCAAGGAGTAAAAAAATTTTATGGAAAATTTTACGTATATATTTGATAAAACCTATCACATTTTACATTTGCAAAACTTTGATACACTTTTCGAAATTTTACAATTTTATAACAAACATATATATTATTGCTGATAATGTTAAATACAAAAGAAATAAAAAGCAAATTACACTAGAATAAATAAAAATAAAATTAATGTATTTTTCAAATAATAACGTATAGCTCTTGACAATTATCATTAATAATCAAAATTCTTGAAAAATACTTAATATAATTATTAACTTAAATTAATCTTTACTCTAGTTGTTAGGATTGCGTTTCCTAAAAAAGTTTATTTAATAATAAATAATTCTCAGTTCGAGGAATATAGTATCAAATATAAACATAAAAATTAACTCATTATTAATTCCATCGTTTATACGAGGTGTCTTACTTCAATAATGCTATAAAATACGAGAGTTATAACTTACAAGAGTTATAAGCTTACATCTAATTTAAACAAAAAATTTATACATTTTAACGAGCAAATTAAAATTAATCACATAAAGTCACTTACATTACTTTCTAAATTCCAATTCATATTTAATGTAATAAAAATATTAAAAATTAGGTAATATATCGTTTACATAATTTTTCGCAAAAAAATCAATTTTTCGAAAAGAAACCAAAACTTTTCTGGTTTTTTTCCAGCAATTTGTAGAAAGCAGTTTTTTAAAACTATAATTTTTATTTTAAAAAATATGAATATTATTAATTTTGTATTATATTGGCGGAGAAATTATTTTTATTTAAGAGATATATTGAATGTTTAATATTTTTACAGCATATATTACCGAAGCTGAAAGATGGACAAGATTTTGTAATAGTAGGATACTCCTTCGGATCTGTTATTGCAGTTGAGTTGGCAAGAAGATTGGAAGCTATGTATTTTAAAGGCCGACTAGTTCTCATTGACGGCGCTCCTGAACAAGTACGAATGGTTTGCAAACAATTTACATCAGATTCTGACGATGTAAACCTTCAGATTTTTGTTCTTTATAATATTATGGAAAATTACTTAGCAGGAAGCAGTAAAAAGGTATAATTTTTTTCTAGAGCTTATATCGAAATTAAAGGAGAACTCCACTGCGACGAGTTAAAAAGAAATTTTTGTAATGTTTGAGGTCTTGAAAATATGTCCCTAAAATATTATATTGAAATTCACAATGGAACGATAGTAAATATGTAATAAAATAGCACGTGTTTAGATATATACGCCCGGCCGCGTAAAACTTTAAACGCGTTTTTCTTGAAACCACGTTTTCGTAGCTGGGCGCTCGCATATCTCGGCCAATTTTTATTCGAATGACTTGATTTTTGGACAGAATGTTCACAACGAAATTGCCTTCAGTTAAGTGTACGATTTTTTTTAATCGGATTATTATTTTTGGAAAAATAATTTAAAAAAGTAATGATTTTTTTCGCAAAATAGCAAACTAGTTTTTTTAAAAAGTGCCATTTTGTTAAAAATTATTTTTTCAAAAAATCCGTACGCTTAACTGAAACTACACTTACATACTTTAAAATGAAAAAAAAATTTAGACATCCCGTTCAGACGCATCACGGGCGCCCGGCGCACCCATGTTTTTCCAATAGAGGTTTACGTCATCGAAGACGACCACAAATATTAACATTAGTTTATGATTTTTTTTTATAAAATCTTAAATATATATACTTTTAATATATAAAGATAATAATTCATACAACTTATTAATTATCGCAAAAAAATTCACAAAAATAGCCTTTTCTTTCGGCCGTCACAGTGGTGTTAACCCTTAATTCACTATATATTTATGATATGTTTATATAAGGTGTCCTGTCACTACCACATTATCTCTTAAGAACGTGTTTTTGAGATAATTTGCAGACAAAAATCTAGTACAAAAATATTAAGGCTATAAAAGTTTTTATATTAATAGCGATTAAAATTCTCGAATCACAGAGCTGACATTTCGCGCGCTCAGGCATGTTGATATGACAAGTTATGAGAGTATTACTACGCGAGTCCTCTCAACAACGTCGAGATTATCGTACAAATATGTAATGACATTTTTATTAAGAAATCGTTTTTGCTTCTATACGGAATCTATTTGTACATAACATATGCGTAATTAATATTGAAACATATTATAAAATATTAATTTTCAGTAGTGAAATATTACGAGCTGTCAAAATAAATTCATATCTATATATTGATCTCATCATATCGATATGCTTGAGCGCGCGAAATGTCAACTCTGTGATTCGAGAACTTTAACCGCTACTAATTTAAAAACTATATATTATAGCCTTGACATTTTCGTATTAGAATTTTTGTCTCCAAATTATCTCAAGAACACGTTCTTAACCCATTATAGCGTCCAAGCAAACACGTTTTTTGAACAATTTTCAGCGGCTTAATTTTTTATTTTAATGGCCTTGAAAAAAATCTAAACAACATCATTTCTGACGTAAAATTAAAATTGATTAAAAAACCAACAAAAAAACTTTTGTAATGAAAAATAAAGAATTTTGACATTGATAGAAAACAATTAAAAAATATGACGTTTTTGTATATCCATCTCTTGGAGTTTTTTAGCGCATTTTGATCGGTCATTTTATATCCGCCATATTGTTGCAATAATTTTATTGTTATTTTGATCATACGATATTACAATATTGATAAGGACCAGTCATGACAATTATTGCGTTTTTTTTCTTAGTAAATTTGCACAATATCGTAACATTTCGAGCTTTTGGCTGCTATTTTTGATGTCGCCATCATGAATTTCGAAATATGTATACATACGTTTTCAAGTTTAGAGATCGAGGAATTCATATTTTGAGTGTTCAAGACTATCCTAATGTCGTTTTGATGTGAAAATATTGATTGAAAATAAAATTTGAGTGAAAAATCACGGTTTTTTTGTAAAAAATTGACTATAACTTTTTTGGATTTTATTTTTGACAAATTCTGATGGCAGATTCTGAAAGAGCAAGAAATTTTACGTCAGAAATAATGTTGCTTAATTTTTCTCAAGGCCATTAAAATAAAAAATTAAGCCGCTGAAAATTGTTTCAAAAATGTGTCCGCTTGGACGCTGGGTTAAAAGAAAGTGCGGTAGTGACAGGGCATCCTGTATATAAAAAAAAAAAATATATATATAGGTATATATATAGATATATATAGTTTTTTTATGATTATCAGTATCAATTTTTTCTATTTTAATTCTTGTATTTTAAGTGTTTCCTATTTTGAAGTAAATACTTCTATATATGTATATACATTTATATATATATATATATATATATATATATATATATTTATAATATATTGTTGATAGATTCTAATGGATTTGAGCAAATGTAATACCTGGGAAGAGAGATATAATATTTTTGCCATACAATTCTTAACCACAAATACGTTACTTTCACCCGCAAATTTAAAGACACTGTGTGCAACAGTTTACAAACACTTATCCGCTATTCAGCAATATGATCCATCTATGTTGCCACCTATTAAATCTCCCATAATATTGCTAAAAAGTACATATCCGTTGCCTATACCCATAACCGAAGAGGATTATGGTTTGCAGAAGGTATTTTAATAATGTTACGTTAATCTATTTCTATTTAAATCATATTCAACTAAAGTTTTTATTAATAAAATGTTAAATTGTTTAAGATAACTCAAAATGTGGTGAAAGTACATTACGTCGAGGGTACTCATGTTACGATCTTAAGAAATAATAATGTGCTAGCTGCAATTAATGGAGAGCCGCCGTTTGCAATTTAATGTGTTACTTTATATGTAATTTGATGATTGGTAATGAAAAATTGTTTCAAATAAATAAAATTGAGGTGGAAGGAACACGGCAGTTGTAGCTAGTTCTTTTGTGCTCAATATTTATATAATTTGTTTATTTTATTTTTCGAAAAGCTACGAACGTTTCGATCTTGATCAGGTCATTTTCAGCGCAATAGCAATTAAAATATGGTCCACATTATAACAAACTATTGTTCGTATTGAATTTTTGCTCTTACGATATACCTACATTTTCTTCGGTCTGTCCACATTTCCGTTTAAAATAAAGAAAGAGTTGAACTTCCTAGTTCTTCTCTTTACCGTACTGTCGGAAGTAGTGCCATAGCATCATCTTATTAAAAACTTGTAAAAGATTCAAGTAAAATCATAAAACATATGTAAAATCGTAGTAAGTAAACTACGGATAAAGATTAAAAGTTGGATGTCAATTATGTCAAAGAATAAAATGTTATTAAATGTAATTGATAAAAGTGATAATAAATTATGCAAGTTAAATAAAAATAATAAATAAATAATAAAAATAAAATAAATTTAAAAAAGACTGATTTTTTAAAGAAAGAATATCTGTGAGCAAGGTGACGCATTGCATTAAAATTTTAAAATTTATAATTTATTAGGGATTTCTCGCAATCAAAACGTACCGTTGACAATACTACGGATCGAATGCTTCATCTAAAATAACCATAAATCGAAAGGCCTCGGAAAGGAAAATAGATACAGGTACATATTCATAAGAAGAAATATTTTACAACATTCTAGCATCCTAGCTTTTATTTGTGAATTTTCTTATTTCCAAGATTTATTAGAAAAATATCTTATATTTCAATTATATTTAGACGGATTTTTCATTGTTATAAAAATGTTAAAATTATGAAAACATCGAACATGTAACTGTAGATATAATTGATTTGCATACATATCAATTAAATGTTTTCATTTAATTTTTAATATTTTATGCATTTACACTTTCACAATGTGTAACGTAAAAAATATGTTTAAAATAATATGATAAAAAATATGATATATGAAGAAATATGATAGAAAAATAAACGATAAAGGAGAAGGCAATCTTAAAATATTAGACATTACATTGTTCAACACGGATTTTGACACTTATACAATAAAAAGTAGTTTTTTTTCATAGAATCCGAATCCGAAGAGAAAAGTAGTGAATTGGCTTTAGTTTTGAAGAAAAACGGTGTCAAAAATGTAAAAAAAAGTTTTTGACCATTTTGAGCACCTGTAGAAAAATTACACGAACTAAAACCTCCTAAATGAAATGAAATGAAAGTTTTTTCTTTTAAACTAAAAATAATAAAAAATGGTCACATTTTTTTGCTTATTTGATATCGTTTTTATTTTTCAAAAACTGGAACTTAAAATAACAAGAAGATAATCACTGATTAATTCATTATCTTAAATTTTTATTAATAAAAAAATGTATTGTATAATATAAATATGTAATAGTTAACAATCATGGCGCAGAGAGTTGCTGATTTTGACGTAAAACATCCGGCTTTAAAATTGATTAGAAACTAAAGGATTTTTATTCGATCGTTACTTTTTGACAACGGCAATCCACCGAGATATATCTTGCCATGAAAACCCTTCTAAGTTAAGCCGTTCGAAACTGGCGTTAAAAACTTGTAGGTCCCGTATATCTGTGTGAATGTAAATTGTAAATAGCTTACAGAAATACGATAAGAGGTTACCTCTTTAACTGACAAGAGGCAAAGGACTCGAAAGAAAGAAGAATAAATATGTAATAAAGTATAATCCCTAATGATTTTGAAAAATCGACTTTACTTTCCTTTGTTAAACGCGGAAATTACTTTCAGCGTTTCTAAACTAAGTGATTCCGAACGAAATTAGGTCAGCATGTCTATTACACGTTACGATATCGATTTTAGATGTTGAATCGATTTCTATTTCAGATTCAAGGGAAACAAACTGTTCCATTTTTGCATTCTATCGGGATAAAGTCCTGTTTTCATTGTTGGTTCCTCGGTGATTTCTAAATAGTTGTCTCTTTCTAGTAGGTACGGTTCCCACGTAACGTTCTTTGCTTCCAAAGCTGAACACAGCTGTCCAGTTTGAACAAAATTCGACCATATGCTTGTCATAAGATCCACCATAGGAATTTCCGGGGCATCGTTTTCAAAAAACGGGAATTTGATTTTCATAAAGAACAGATATTGCAAATCGTCATGATGCGCTACTCCTAGAATGATAAAATTTGTAATAACAAATTTAAATATATATGCAGAAATTAAGTAAAGATCAAATAATCAAGTACTGTAAAACAATTTAAACAATTTGAATTAAAAATTAAACTAAAAGAATAAACGTAATACCATATGGTGTGGTTTTGTTCCACATAACAAAACTGTATCGTCCTTGATAAGAAGACATATAAAAATAGACGGGTTGATCAGAATTTTCTGCAATCAGCCTTACAGAACGATGCATCGGATATATAATTACACTGTCGCTGTAGATCTGAAATCCAAAACTAATTATACACGAGTTAACTGCAATTAATTTTACTCATGTCACCATATTAATCAAATATTAATATAGAATTTTAAGAGCAATATTGTTCCCAACGTGCTGTTGTTTCGATCATAATATCTTATACAACACTTTACATACGTGTGCGAGACCGTCGTAAGTTTCTGGACCGATCGGTTTGTCACCAAAGTAAAATTGGCGTAGTTCAGTACTTATGTGTCTGGATCGAGGTGTATCCCGCTCGTACATGAAATTAATCGGTGCGAGTCTGTACCAGTCATTGTTTAAGTCGTTCAATATCGAATCATTCCCGAGTTCGTGTTGCTTAATAATATCTAAGGAAACCAGCGAAATATATTATACAAGGTACCTGAAACCGTATATTCCTTTTATCTTCGCAGAATAAGGTGCAATCAAAAATATGTTCAGACCATAGGTGCAAGTCTTAAAAAATCTATTTATTAATTATATCAGTTTTACCGTGGGGTTCGCTAAAGTCAGGTTTAAGACAGCGGTATTGTAACTTTCAAGCTTTATAACTTAGTAGTCTTAATACTTAATAAAAAGTAGTACTTAATGAAAATAAATTTTATATAGTATTTTGAAAAACTCCTTTCATCAACTATTAGATTCTAAAATCAAACATAGAGTGTTTCATTAAAAAAAAACTGTGACCTTGACCTGGCCTTGGCGACGTCACGTAAGATCAAACTGATATGATCAATAAATAGATCTTTTTAAATTCTACAACTATACTTTGAACATATTATTGACTGAACATTATCATGCGAAGATAAAAGGGGTAGTCTCAGACACCCTGTATATTTATTAATTTTCTGTGATTTCAATCCACCATTTTTACTTTCAGAATCAATTGGAATTTACAAGAAGATGTAAATATAAAATTCGTACAGGTGACCACACCGTCGAACTCGTTTTTAGTTACTCCTGCGATCAGCGGAACTTTGTGAAACTTCCCTTTTCTAATAAGATCAATCGGCTGTTCAGGCAAGAATCTTTCCACGCCGTGAACCTCAGGTTCCACTACGGGTGTCCATATTAAGATTGGATCACCATGCCACTCCTAGAACGTCTTAGGATGTTAAAAATTCTTTTTTTATGTAATCGTTTAAAAATAACACTAATTTTTACGTTTCTTAGTTTTTGATAAATTTTTCTATAATATATTGTTTTTCTAATTTTCTATCTATTGTTTCCTTATTATTAATCTCGTCATGTATGTAATCTTCCTTACAAAGAACTTGGATATGGTATTTGTAAAGTTCTCCACTGGTTTAGAATTCAAGCAGATCAGCATAGATCCAGTGGTGTCGGTCGGACAGTCTAACAACTCGGCTTGTTTTTTTGCCAAGTGTAACTGTTCGGTTGGAAACGGTTCTATTATTGTCGAGCCGCTCATCATGATCGCCCGATGGAACAGTTCCTTTGACATCGGCGAGACCATGTGCAAATACACGCTCAATCCACCGACGCTGTAGCCAGATATAGTGACGCTATCGGGATCGCCGCCGAAAGCAGCTATGTTCCTCTGGACCCATCGAAGCGCTACGACCTGATCCTTCAGGCCCAAATTACCCGGTGCCTTCGAATCGCCGGTGCTTATAAAGCCTGACAAGTATAAATAAACTCTCTAAAAGTGAATCAGTGGAATCACTGATTGTCAGTGTATATCATTTTCCAGTGACATTCTTAAAATTGTGATAAACAGTGACTATTTTAATATCGCTTTAATGATAATATGTATACTGATTTAAACAGTGAATATTACTGAAAGACAATGAATTTGATTGTTTGACAGGGAAATTCACTGTCTTTCAGTGATATTCACTGTTTAAATCAGTATATTATTACTGAAGCGACATTTAAATAGTCACTGTTTATCGCAGTTCTAAGTATGCCACTGGAAAATAATATACATTGATAATTAGCGATGATTTCACTGATTCACTTTTAGAGAGAAGGTGTGACACCATTCTTTTTCTTAAAAGAAAGAATTCTTATGTAAATTCTTTGTATTATAACGATAAAATCCCAATTAATATAATAAGTTTATGTGAATTAATATTTTTCTTTAAACTTTAAATTCTTCTTAAGCAGAATTTTATTGCTTGTAAATTGAATTGTTAGAAAGGTGATAAAACGCAGGAATTTTTACCTAGAGACGCGAGACGGTAATTGACGGTGACGAGGACGACGTCTTTGTCCAGCAGGTACTGAGGTCCAAAATTAGAACTTTTACCGGAGAACAAGTAAAAACCACCGGGATGGAAAAATACTAGTACGGGTCTTTTTACGAAATCGTATGCCGACGGCAACTGCAATCCAGATAATTTTTCAATTTGTGTTTTATTCATTTGAACTTTTTTCATTGTGAATGTACGTTGCATTATAAGGCTCACTTTTGTTGTATAGACATTTACACGTAGACAATCCTCCATCATATTCTGTTCGGATATTGCTGGACAAGCGGGTCCTTCCTTAGTCGCATCGAAAAGGTCGGTCCAATCCGCCGCTGGAATTGCGACCTAGAAGAAATAAGATTAATAAAAAAAAAGTGAAAAATGTGGCCAAAATTCTAGTGTCCGATAAATACAAAAAATTTGTAATTGGACTACAATTTATATTTATTCAAAATTTTCATATTAAAAAAATGTTCATTCAAATATTTATTCAAACTTGTAGGCTTTTAAAAATATTTATTCGTGAATATTTTATAATTATTTTATGATTTATTCATATTTATTCATACAAAATGTAAAGTAAAATAGAAAGTGAAAAATAAATTTATACATATTGTTATTAATATCCAGATTTAAAAAGAAAATTTACAAATTTTGAACAAAATTTTAGAAAGCAAATTTTTCAATTAAAAGTCTTTTATTTGCAACAATAATTTTTTTTACAATAAAATTTTTATTCTCTATATTTTTGCAAATCAAAAATATACAGTAAAATAAAACATTGCCATTTTGTACGGATTACAATAACAGTAATGTTAATTTTATAAGATATTTTAAGATGTTTTAATATCTCGTGAATTTTAAATAAAATGTATTATTCAATTAATAGATTCTTCAGAATCACCAATAAAAGCATTGGCAATTGCTCTCATTTTCTTCTCGGTATCATCGTGTTTTTTAAACTTAAACCAAGCTCGAAGTCTGAATTTTAGTGTGTAGAGTGGGGGTGAATGCGAAATCGAAAATATTCGTAATCATATGTACAAATATATTAATTCAAATTGCATAAAAAGTATTTATTCAATTTTCCATGAATATGAAAAAAGTAGTATTTGCACTCGTATTCATATTCATTAATTATCCATTTATTCGAATATTAGATATATTCCTCGGACCCACTACAAAATTCTGATTCAAAACTAGCTTTATTCTTGTCAAAAAATTGCTGGATGGATCGTTTATGAAGAAGATTTTATATAATATTGTGTGCCCACAGACTGGGAGTCTTGCCGCGTTTTTCACTCTTAAGAAATTGTGCACGATTCATTATTTGTTGACTGCGTCTGTAATGCGCGCGGATACAAATTTCCCGAGCGTTAACATCAAATTAACAATAGCTTTCTCATTATTTATCTAATCTGATGCTTTACTTGGAAACGTTGCTGTCCGGTCGGCGGTTCGGCGTATCTGACCCCGCGGAAGGAATAGATTTTCCTGCCAAGTCTGGAGGTCATGGTGGAACCGCGGATTCTTCCAATCGGTGCGACGATCTCATAATGTTCGTCGGCGAGATTGTCATCGGCGAGCACGACGACGACACTCAACAGGATAACGAACAAGCGTTTCATGATCTTTCTGTAGAGAAAGACAGTTTGGACTGGTGAGTTTAATGCGAGCAGGAAACTCAGACACGTCAAACCGGTTAGGCACTAGCGGGCACTAAAAACATTTCAAGAGCACTACAGGATCTTTTATACCGAACCACGAATACGAAGATGCGCATGCGAATCGCAATTTTCTTTCCAGGAAACTGACTCTGTCATATGAAGAGTATTTGTCTAAACAGACAGGCAGACGTACGTGAGGTCACGCACGTTTTGCAATTTAAATATATACGCGCACGAGATTTTAAACCAAGACAAAACAGGAATTAATGCGGTTATTCCCTGAGAAGTGCAGATAAATCCGCGACTTGCAAGAATTATCTCAACGTTTATCTTCAACGGTCACAGTTCGTAATATTATCGTTTCTTCTTTCTATCGTTTTGCACATTTTTTCAGTGATACAGTTAATAATGCGATTACGAATCAAATGTAGGTTTTATTTTTCTCAACAATAAAAAATTTGTAACTTTAATTTTGTAGAAAAGATATTAAAATTCAATTTTACTACAAGAAAAAATGTCTAAGATTTGATTACTTAAATTTATTACATTAGATGTCCTTATGATTTTTTTTATAAAAAGAGAAAGATTTTAATTTTATAGTAAAAAAATACAAAGACTCAAAAATAGTTAACTAATAAATTTGGAACCAACACAAAACAGAAATTAATATTTAACGAGAGGTGCTGATAAATCCGCAACTTCCAAAAATTATCTCAACATTTATTTTCAATGGTTACATATTATAACAGCAATGTTTTTTTTGTTACTGTATTCTTCAAGGATACAATATATAGCTGATGATGTAAATCGATTTCGCCGAATAATGTTGTGAATCATGTTATTTTCCTCAACACGAAAAATATCTATATAACGAGTCTTACAGGAAAGTCTCATTACATTAAATCCAATTTACTGCAGAAAAAAGATGCATAAAATCCAATTACTTTATTGCATTAATTTTTCTCATAATTTATAGGAAAATTTTTATTTTATATTACAGAAATGCAAATATTAACAAATAATGATCTAAAAAATTTTTTTAATGATCCACATTCTTTAAATATCTTTATAAATGTTTCTTGGACTTTTCTGTTGTTTGAAGCTACAGCAATCACGTTGAGAAATTGGTTAAATCATTCTGTTATGAATTAACAATCTATTTCTTCTTTCATTTTTTTTTAATTGGTTTGTCTGTAGACATCGGAAATTTGCTCGCTTCGACGTCTTTGTGTCATCTGAATTCGACGATTATTACAGACGTTTATTTATAACTGAAAGTAATTCATTCTATTGCTAAAATAAGTATTATTGATTAGCATTACATTCCAGAGAAAAAAAGATAGTACACAAGACAAAATTGTAATTAAAAAATAAATGGATTAGAAATTTCATGGTATTCTTAAGTTATTCATCTATACAATTTCAATCTAGCGTTTATTGACTTGATTATTATCCGGGATTCTTCGTGCTGATCTATGAATGCTAAATGATAATGGATAATTATCAGTGGTACATCTGTTCAATAGATGTTAAAAAGATGGAATATGCATAGTTACAATATGTTTTACTTATAATTATATATAGTGTTCCCGAAATTCGCAAATCAAAATATCATAGCAAGAATGTATTTGAAAATTAAGTAAAAAAGTTATTTGTAAATTTTTATTTTAAGCAGTAGTTTTTGAGATATAAGAGTTTAAATTTAGCCAATTATAGATTACGATTAAACGTAAACATGTTTGTGAGCGCATCGATAGTCTTAGTAGTCACGCACTTCACGCGAGTACTAATCTATAATTGGCTAAATTTAAATTCTTATGCCTCAAAAATGATTGTTTAAAATAAAAATTTACAAATAACTATTTTACTTAATTTTTCGAAGACTTTCTTGCTATGATATTTTGATTTGCGAATTTCGAGACACCTTGTATAAAAAGTTACAGTTTTTACCGATTTTTGCTTATGCAGGGTAGCATCTAAAATAACTTTCGTGAAAAAAGCACTAACAACACTATCTTCAAATTTTTTCGAGAGTATACAATACAATCGTATACAAGTTAGATCATTTGTTATATAAGTAAGTATATGACATTTGTACTTTATGCTTAAAATTTTAATAATAATTTTATAACTTGCCAATTTAACTTATTTCAATATCAACAAAGTTTTGGATTCAACATTTTTTAATTTTGACAATCAAATTTATAAACAGACCTTTAGGACTCCCATGGGGGTTTCTCACTCTCACCTGCATATGCTGACTTATTGTTAGTAATGCAGGAAATGGAAAGGTGGGTGCTTAAGAACATTAATATTGTGATACCTTTTTATACATATATTGACGATCTAGTTATGGCCGTTTCGTCATCAATATCAATCTCGTATTAGAAAAAAATTTAATTTATTTCACGAAAGACTTCAATTCACATTAGAAAATAGAAATAGAAGGCAATAAAATTAATTTTTTAGACACTATAATTATTTTAAACAATAATAAAATTAATTTTGACTGGTACCATAAACCTACGTTTTCGAGAAGGTATCTCAATTTTTTATTCTCAGTATCCTCTTTCACAAAAAAAATCGTGGGTTTAATAGATAGGGCCTTTTTACTCTCAAATCCAGAGTTACAGCAAAAAACATTGCTTATGAGGATGAAACAACGATTGTGAGGATCTTATTAGAAAATGATTATCCTTTAAATTTTATATTTAAGAACTATCGCAAAAAAAATTTGATGCCTGCATTGGGATATTGGGAATAAAACTCTCTACAGGACGATGGATTATTAATTGAGCGAAACTCCATAGTTCACCATTCTATACATAATTAAGGGATGTGTCTGAGAGTTTTAAAGGTGTCACTAAAAATATTAATTCAAGAATAGCCTTTTACAGTTCTAACAAACTCAATAGGATTGTCAGAGCACATAAAGATCCTTTACCTAAGGAATTCACGAAAAACGTATATCAGATAGAATGTATGGATTGCAATGCAACCTATGTTACCTATATGTATGCCAAACAGAGAGAAAATTAAAAACTAGAATTATCAAACATCGTAATGACATCAATAGAAACACAGACAATCACTCAGTAATAACTGAGCATAGCCTGCGGTTTGATCATGAGATGGATTGGAACAATGTAAAAATTCCGAACGTAGAGAAGAATTACCATAAACGGCTAATTAGTGAAATGCTCTATATTAATAAGCAAAGAAATAATCTTAACTTATAAACAAATACAGAATTATTAGATTAAATATATTAAAAAAAATAATTTTGCAGATATTGTAGTTTTGTTTAATAGAAACAATTTTTTTATTACAAAAGAGAATTTTTTGAAGTATAATATGTAACATTGTATTGTATTTGTAAAGTAATAGAATTAATGCATGTTTGTTTTACTTTTAATGAATGAAATCAAAGTAGCATATCTATTATACGTTACGAAATTGATTTTAGATATTGAAACAATTTCCATATTGGATTCAAAGGAAACAAACTGTCCCATTTTTGCATTCTATCGGGATAAAGTCCTGTTTTCATTGTTGGTTCCTCGGTGATTTTTAGATAGTTGTCTCTTTCTGGTAGATACGGTTCCCACGTAACGTTCTTTGCTTCCAAAGCTGGAGATACCGGCTGTCCAGTTTGAACAAAGTTCGACCATATGCTTGTCATAAGATCCACCATAGGAATTTCCGGGGCATCGTTTTCGAAAAACGGGAATTTGATTTTCATAAAGAACAGATATTGCAAATCGTCATAATGCGCCACCCCTAAAATTACAAAACAGATAACAAATTTAGATATATATATAATATATATGTAGGAATTAGATAAAGATCAAATTATGAAGTATTATAAAATAATCCAAATAATTCGAATGAAAAAGTATAATAAAATATAAGAATAAAAATAATACCGTATGGTGCGGTTTCGTTCCACATGACATAACTGTATCGACCTTGGTAAGAAGACATATAAAAATAGACGGGTTGATCGCAGTTTTCTGCAATCAATCTTACAGAACGATGCATCGGAAATATAATACTACTGTCGCTGTTGATCTGCATAAATACAAAACACAATTATACACGAGTTAACTGCAATTAATTTTACTCATGTCGCCATATTAATCAAATATTAATATTTAATTTTCAGATCAATATTGTTCCCAACGTGCTGTTGTTTCGATCATAATATCTTATACAACACTTTACATACGTGTGCGAGACCGTC